CCTGCATGAGCACTGACCTGGGCCCGGGCCAGGGAGGAGCCTGCAACCTAGGTACATGCTGTTGATCAGAATTGAACTCAGACCCTGCCATTGGCAGGACAAGGCATTACCCACTGAGCCAAACCTGCTAGGGCAGGATATGACATTTCTTAGCCCTCCAGCAGCGGACCTTCGTTTTTTTCGCCAGGAGTGTGGTGAAAAACCATAGATCACCTTTTTGGATTCTTATTACCCATGTTACTAAGAATATTGCCAGTGGCTACAGGGAGCTTAACCAATGAGTGGTCAGAAAAGGTGTTTCCTCTGTAGTTCAGACTAATCCCTGGCTTGGCGCCCCACCCGCCCCCGCCCCCACCGCCACCCCCCCTCCACCCCTGCCCCAGGCCTGACACCTCTGGCCCAGGCTTCATGCCTGGGCAGGGGACCCCCATCTCCCCCGATCCCCGGCTCCGCCCTTGCCCAGGCCTGACACCTCTAGCTGAGGCGGCAGGCCTGGGCAGGGGATCCCCACCCCCCCCCCCCATCACTGGCTCCGCCCTTCACCCAGGCCTGATGCCGGCTCTGCCCCCCACCCAGGCCTGACGCCTCAGCCAGAGGCATCGACTCCCATCACCCTCTGATCGACCCCCATCACCCTCTGATCGCAGGATCGGCCCCTTGCCCAGGCCTGATGCCTCCCCCAGAGGTGTCAGGTCTGGGCAGGGGACCCCCATCTCCCCCTGATCACCGGCTTTTGGGTGGCTTCTGGGGCTGGCCTGCGGCTCAAGATGGCAGCTCGCACTGGCGGCTGTGCTATCCTGCCCTGCCTGCACTAGGCAAATTAGCCGCCATCTTTGTTGGTGGTTAATTTGCATATCATGCTGATTAGCCATTGGGAGGCATAGCAAAGGTATGGTCAATTATTAGATAGGATTGTTAACGTAGGAAACCTTCAAAACTTATAAAACCAGAAGTTTTATAAGTTTTTTTGAGCCAAAGTCTCAACAAATGCTGGAAGCAGAATCTCAATGGATGAGATTATGCTCTGGAGAACATCGGATTTGCGCCTTGTTTGATACATTACAATCAACACAGGAGACTTAAGTGCTGGTAGGGTTCTTGGGCCCGTGACTAGGTGACTTGGGCTGTGAAAGAATTCACAACTGTGAGAAGAGATGGATACAGAGAGAGTTTATTTCACTTCCCAGAGGGAAAGCACCAGTGCATTGCTAACCAAGGGCAAAGAACAACAAAACTCTTTTCAAGCCTGGGACAGGGAAGGGAGGGGCATCGGGGGGCTGCTGCTGTTGCTAGGTGCAATGGAGCCCACAGCAGGGGATGACTGTTATTTCCTCAGGAGACAGTCCAGGCAGAAGTCCTAGGCAGGTGTCTTATCCTGAGTGGTAAACCAGCGGGAGGAAATAGGAAGCCTTCAGAGTCACTGGTCTTGTCTGTAAGTTTGAACAGAGGGGCTGTTTGAAGCAGAGGAGCTAACAGTCTTGGGATTTAATTATCAGGTGCTTCTCATAAGTTGTGGAAGGCCACAGCAAGGAAAAAGAAAGGCCTTTTTCCATCCTAACAAGTGGGTTACGTGAAATCCATTGGTGATAGATTAGGGAGGCAGGAGAAAGCAAAGTGGGGGGTGAAGGGATGGGGAGGAGGAGACCACTGGGATTGGATAAAAAGAAAAGTGATAGACACATACTGCCTTTACTGAGGTGGCTGCAGGATAGTTAACTGTCAGTAAGTAACTCAGTTATAATGAGAGGATTTGTGGCCTCCACAAACCATGCCTGATCTTTGAGGGGTCCAAAAAAAAAGGAAAATGACTCTGACATTCCAATGATATGTAATTGTAGATGCAAAAAGACAATAGAGAGGACCCATTATGGTGAAGATTGACCTTTGTCAGGGAAGGCGTCGGCCTAGGACATGATTACCCACTGTAAGCTGCTTTTTAGTTTAAAAAGTTTTCATTTCAGCCCAGCCAGTGTGGTTCAGCATTTGACCTTAAGCCTATGAACCAGAAGGTCACTTTTTAGATTCCTTGTCAGGGCACAGGCCCAGGTTGCGGGCTCCATCCCCAGTAGGAGGTGTGCAGGAGGCAGCTCATCAATTATTCTCTCTCATCATTGATGTTTCTATCTCTCCCTCTCCCTTCCTCTCTGAAATTAATTAAAGCAATTTTTTTTTTAATATATTTTATTGATTTTTTACAGAGAGGAAGGGAGAGAGATAGAGAGTGAGAAACATCGATGAGAGAGAAACATCGATCAGCCGCCCCCTGCACATCTCCTACTGGGGATGTGCCCGCAACCCAGGTACATGCCCTTGACCGGAATCGAACCCGGGACCCTTCAGTCCGCAGGCCGACGCTCTATCCACTGAGCCAAACCGGTTTCGGCAACAATTTTTTAATTAAAAGTTTTAATTTCACACCACCACTGTGGTTACTTTCGCTTTCTGCGTTTGCAATGCTGCCACGCAGACCTACCCTGAGCTAGTCAGGATAGCATGTGGCCCGTTTTCCTCATATATTAGCCCCTGTATAGAGTATTCAGTTTGAATTGGCTACTAATTCTGAGTCTGTGGTTTCTCCTGTGACACGGGGAGAAAAAGTGGAGTGGGTGAGAGTAATGACTGAACAATAGCAGGTGGTAAATGGTTCTTTCTACATCCTGCAGATCACTTGCATGCTGTACCCGCTCAGAAATAGGATAGACCTAAGGGTAGGTCAAGAAAGGGGCAGTGTGACTGAGGGGCTCACATACATTCTAGAAGGAGCCAGAGAGTAAATGTGTTCAGCTTTACAGCCACAGTCTCTTGGGAGTACTCTCATCTCCTGTGGTAGCATGAAGGCAACCACAGTTTCTAACCAGTGAGCAGGGCAGGGTTTTACCTCTCTCTCTCTCTCTCTTTCTCTCTATTAACGGTGACCAAGGACAAAACAAAGTGTAGGCACTTTAAGCAAACAGGATTATGTAACCATGAAGTACACATGCCATCACCAGCTTGGCCCCCAGAAAGACCTTCATAAATGCTGCCTCCCACTTGGGGGTCTGCCGGAAGCCGGTCCATCCTTGCTGCTTGACACAGTCGCTGCAGGAAAGAAACACATATGCACAGCATATGTTTCAAGGGACCTGGCGTATATAGCATACTGTTCTTAATATGTTTGCTCCCCTTAGCGCTGTGTGTTTTAACCAAGGTCACCTCTCTGAGAAAGGTTGTTTCCCCAGGTAGGGATTTTTCCCTGAAGTCAGGGAGGGGATAAAACTCCTTAACTAAGTGCTAGGCGGGTAGTTAATCACTTTAACTACAAACAATCACGCTTAAGCTACATAATCTTTACTCCCTGGAATGGAGATAAGAAATGCCCTAACCTTTGCAATAGAAATTGACAGGATTAAAATCAACTGGTATAAATACGGACGTAATGAGACAATAAAGACCAGAACTTCCTGGAGATCCAGACCAGAACTTGGCTGGAGATCCTGGCTAGAGATCCTGGCTAGGTTGCTGATCAGCTGAACGCTGTCTCCGTGTCATTCCTTCTTCACCAACTCCGTCCACACCTTTGGGGACCCCTGGACCTGCTGGGGCAGGACCCCAGCAGGGGTCCCCACTGAATGCAATCACAGGGCCTTGGTTTCTCTTAAGAAAGGAAGGCGATCTGTATCCTCAGAGGCAGTTGCCCTGTGCAAATACTTCATTGCATTTTAGAAAAAGCAGACATTCCCTTTCTGCAGTGGAGGATGGACCTGGGTCCCAACCAATGAGTCCTGCACCTACTTCCACCTTCTGGGGTTCTCCTGAAGTAGTTCCTTTAGTTCAACCAAAGCCCTTGATTCCCATCACCAACCCCTGTGCTTGGGGGAAGCACAGCCCTCCACCCTGTCCACTGCTGGGCTCAGAGCTGGGATCAAAAGAGGGTGGTGCTTGTCCTGCTTGGGCCCAACTTACATCACAGGAGGGGCCAGACCCGGTACGGGGGCCTTAGTAAACCTGGAACATTCAGCCCCCCCGTGGAGGGAGGGAGGGATGGAGGATAGAAGTCACAGCCGTGGAGCACAGAACTCAGTTTGTGCTGCTTCTCAGATTGTCTGGGACACCACAGAGCGCGACCACACCCCCGAGCCCCTGTGACCCACAGCCCTGCCTGCTCTCTGTTCAAGTGCCCCCAGGACCCTGCCAGCCATGGCGTCTTAACACCTGAGGCCCTGGAGACTGTGGCCAGTAAGGGCACCGCTTCGCCATCACACCGGACCTGTGCAGGCGGTTCTGGGGACTCGGTGCGGGGTTGGGCAGCTGTGTAGCAACTGCACAGGCTGAGGCCCAGGGCCCCGCTCCCACCATCTGGACATCCATGACCTGTAGAGCGTCTATCAGTGGTTCTCAACCTTCTGGCCCTTTAAATACAGTTGCTCATGTTGTGACCCAACCGTAAAATTATTTCCGTTGCTACTTCATAACTGTAATGTTGCTACTGTTATGAATCGTAATGTAAATATGTCATATGCAGGATGGTCTTAAGTGACCCCTGTGAAAGGCTCTTTCGACTGCCAAAGGGGTCCCGACCCACAGGTTGAGAACCGCTGGATTCCTGTGCAAGGAGTGTGGGGGCCACTGGGAGGTGAAGACCGGCCAGGGATGAGCCCGGAGCTGCGCTTTCACACACTTCGGGGACAAATCAACACTCACGTGAGTCCTTGTCGCGTTCTCTCAGCTTATTGCACAATTCCAGTCCCAAAGACTTGTTTTGGGGGCTGTATTTTTTAAAACACCCGGGAAAAGACCGGGAGAACCAAGGCTAAGGGCTCAGTTTAAAGGCAGTCAGACGACCAATCAAAATGATCCTCTGCTGACAGGCGTGGCCAGCAGCCAAAGGCCTTCGCCGTGGGCCCGCCCATCTATAATTTTGCCAGAGGGCCGCGGTTCGCATTCACAACACCTTGGGCCGGGCGGGGCCTGGTCGGGGCCGGTCGCCACGCCCCTGGGGGCGGGGCTTGCGCCTGCGCGCTGGGCGACAGGACTAGGGTTTCCAGCCGGTGCACAGCGTGCGCCCTGCAGTCGCACTCGCAGACGCTCGGAGCCTCGCGGGAGCCCCGGTCGCTGCTGTTGGGCGTCCACGGCCCGCTCCGCTCTCCACGCAAGTGCTTCTCGAGTCTCCTGCCCGGCCATGTCGTCCAGCAGCCGCGTGGCGCTCGTGACCGGGGGCAACAAGGGCATCGGCTTCGCCATCACGCGGGACCTGTGCCGCCGGTTCTCGGGGGACGTGGTGCTCACGGCGCGGGACGCGGCGCGGGGCCGGGCGGCGGTGCAGCAGCTGCAGGCCGAGGGCCTGAGGCCGCGCTTCCACCAGCTGGACATCAACGACCTGCAGAGCATCCGCGCCCTGCGCGACTTCCTGCGCAAGGAGTACGGGGGCCTGGACGTGCTGGTCAACAACGCGGGCATCGCCTTCAAGGGTAAAAGGCCGGGTGGTCGCAGGGGGCGTCACCCAGCACCTTCAGCCAGGGTGGCTGGTATGTCGGAGTATCGGTACAATGGGGCTCCTCGCGTGTATGGATGCAGAATGGCTCCCGAGGGAAGTAGGAGAGTTTGGGGGCAGGGGTGCAGCAAGATCAAAGTGCAAGAGAAACTGGAGCGCCTTCTGGCCCAAGGACCTTTGTGTTCTTTGCTCAGATGCAAGTTTTCAGTTAATTCTGGTTTAGGCTTGAGGGCATTTGAGTGAATGTTGAATGGATTTCTAAATAAACAAGAACCTTGCACAAACAGGTTCAGAGTTCCCACTGTGCACCTTCACCAGCCTCCGGGAATGGCACCATCTCAGACACTATAGAGCATCCGGGAACAAGGAAATGGTCATTGCATGGGCGCCAATTCTACGCAAAATTCACATTTTATGTCATGCTATGGAATGGTACCACATGGCTACTATTTATTAACTGTACTCTCCTTCTCTCCTGAAAGTGAATGATCCCACACCATTTCATATTCAAGCAGAAGTGACGATGAAAACAAACTTTTTTGGTACCCGAGACGTCAGCACGGAGCTGCTGCCTCTCATGAAACCCCAAGGTGAGTGTAGGAGCCCTGGCTGCCTTGTTTGCGGCAGCACCCAGTCCTGCCCTCCCCTGGTGTCCTCTCCAGGCCCCTCCCTGTTCCTGCTCCTGCTCCTGCTCCTGCTCAGCTGCCCTGTCCCCTGGTGTCTCACCAGACCAGGTGCCCTCAGCCTCAGGACTGGGCTATGTTTGCTGTCTGCCCCCTGGTCTCTGCACAGCCGGCTCTTGCTTATCCTTCAGCTCTTTGTTCAGAGGTCTCCTCAGAGAGGCCAGTCACTGCTCGCACCCCTCACAACCATTGGAGTCTCCTGAGGATCCCAGGCCAGATCCTCCCTCCTCCCCCTCCCTCTCCGTCCTCCCCCTCCCTTCCTGAGTGACCTTTCCTACCTCCAATTCATTAGGCCCCTGAACTCTTCTGCATGGGATCACAGGGGCCTTTCTTTGTACTCTACTGATACAGTGCGTTGCACCTATTGGTTCCGAGAGGCTAAGCCAACCGTGCATATCTGAGATAAACATCACTTGGTTTTCACAAGTTCAGGAGTTCCCCCAGACCACCCTCAGGTTCAAGAATCCCTGCGAGGACTCAGAACTCAGGGACGCCATTATACTCAGAATGGCAGTGCTCAGCAGCAGAGGAAAGGGAGAGTGCTGCAGATCGACCGTGGGGGAGCTCTCAGGGGCCAGGGAGCAGGGGCCAGGGAAGCCGGGCAGGGAGCTTCCAGCTGTCCTGTCGCGTGGAGTCCTGCGGACAGCAGCTGTGTGTGTGAGAGGAACACGGAGCACTGCCGTCCAGGGAAGCTCACCCACCTTGTTTCAGGGGTGTGTGCTGAGGGCTGGCCTCACAGACATGGCCCGCTGTTCTCTTGGCTGACCTTCCTCTCCAGCACCTCCCCCAGGGATCCATTTGATACCAGGTAGCCTCACCATAACCATATTGTTAACATCCACTGTGTAGCCTGACCCTAGGCCCCCAAGTAAACAAGGACAGTCTTATCAGGCAGGACAGTCCAGGGTTTAAAGATTATCCCAGCAGCTCTGGGCAAAGGGCCAAACCTTTGCCATTTGCACTTTACCCAGCATGCAACTATTTTTGCAGAACTATTTCGTTTTCTTAAGAGATAAACCGAGGCATTTCAAGAAATTAAGAGTTTCTTTGAGGAAAAAAATCTATTTGAATTGGGAAACAGCAAACCGGAAGTGCTTAGGAAGGCTCTATCCACAGGTATTGGAGAGAGACCATCACAGAGAAAAGGCAGAAGCAAAATAAGGAAATTATTGATTGGCTATAGCTGTAAGCCTAGGTGTCTGTTTTTGATCGGTGGTCCTTAGGTTTCGGTTTTGTAACCTTGAGTGTGGAGAGAGGCTCAAAGACCCTCTTTGGACAGATTCAAGCCTCGGACTAATGAGAGGGCACAGTTCTCTCATGGCCACGTGCAAGTCCCAGCTTGGAGGGCAGAGCCCTTCCAGCACAGTTATAGCCAACAGCTATAGTTGTGAGCTTGAACCTATTGTCTGAACACATGGCCCCACGTGTCTGAGTGATGTAGGCTTGATAGAGTTCAGGTGCATGTAATTGAGTAGGATCGAAACCCAGGAGAATGTTGTAAACATCTTAACCATGCCCTTTGCCTCGTGGAATCTGGCTATAAAATAAAGACTCAGCTTGTCCGTGGCACTGTCTCTCTCCATCCGAGAGGGCAGCGTCCCACCGAGACCCAGCTTCCTTCTCTTGTCTGTCTTTTTTCAATCCTTCACCTCCCCCACTCGGGCTCACCGAACCTGGCTGAGCTGGCGCTGCACACAAGGGGCTGAGTATGCCATGGCCGTGCCGGCCCGCCACACTTGAGGCATTTACAGGCTTAGATTTTGGTTTGCCTACGTAGGCCGCCGTGGTATTAGAGCCGCCGGCGTGTCACACTTCCTTGTTTGCTGAGTTTCACAGTACAGAAATTTGCTGGTGGCTCACTAAACCCAGCTCCTCCTCAGGCTAGTCACTTTCCATCTGTGTTCCATCCTGAGGAGACTGACTCAGTCTCCCAATACATGTGGCTACTGACAGCAGTGTCATCATGTAACTCACTTACACATGGTCATTGAACATGCCAACCAGGCCAACGTTGCACCATATCACAGTGCAGTTGTACATGGACCTGACGAGTAAGAATCAGGGGCGCTGGCACATTCCCGGTGTCCCACTCAGTCACTGACGGTCGGTTCAGTGCATCACCGTGTCATGGGAACCTGCCGCCCAGAGCCATGCTGCCCAGCTGTGCCAGCTCCCCTTCCAGCTGTCAGTCCCCAAAGCGGGGTGGTCTTGGCAACACCTGGCTTCACCCCTTCTAGCGCCCCGTACTATGGAGCCAAGAGACGAGATCGTGTCTGGAGGCACCAGTGTCTTATTGGACTTCTCTTTGTTGGACCCATTTTATTCATTCCTTTGCCCTTTGCCACCATTCCTTCTCCCCAGTTATCTTGAGTTTTACCCCAACTTTTTCACTTTCCAGAGGGACATGAAGTTCAGCCACGTGCTGCTCCCGACAGCCTGCTGGACACTAGTCTAACACATGCCTCCCTCCAGTCCACTGCTGGTCATGGCGGGTAGGGTCACACAGGCCCAGAACCGGCGGGCTGTCTCCACCTGTATTGCTTGGTCTGCAGGTAAAGCTTGTCAGTCCAAATTGGTGCCGTATCTTCTGGTCCAGTAGAGACTGCTCATCTCCGGCCACTGCCTGCACCCCGACCTGCCAGCTTCAGGCAGGGCCTTCCCCTCGTGCAGTCTCTCCCATAACCCTCTGCAGTCTCTGCTCCCTCGCTGCCAGATAGAATGGTCCTCGGCATGTTGTGGCTCAGAGGGTGCAGGAGTCACATGTCCACAATGATCCCACCTCTGCGTCACTGCAGCTGCCCACCTCCGCTCCACCACTGCTCCCCGCTGCCCAAAACCCACACGGGGAGAACCACATGGGAGAAGACAGGCTCGTTTTCTCCCCATCTGGGTTTTGGACAGCTTGTAACACTGGCCTGGTAATTAGCCCACTGAACTAATTTGTGTGTGGGGGGGGGGTGTATTTTTTCCATTGATTTTTAGAGAGATTGGAATAGAGAGGGAAAGAGAGAAATGTCAAATTGAGAGAGAGACATTGATCGGTTGCTTCCTGCACGCACCCCAACCAGGGCCTTGGCCAGGGAGGAGCCTATAACCAAGGTCCGGCACTGCCCTTGATCATGCCCTTGACTGGAATCAATCCCAGGACCCTTCAGTCTACAAGCCTATGCTCTATCCACAGAGCCAAATCGGCTAAGGGCAGTGGTCGGCAAACTGCGGCTCGTGAGCCTCATGTGGCTCTTTGGCCCCTTGAGTGTGGCTCTTCCACAAAATACCGACTTCTGCGCATGGGCCACAAAGTTTCAATCTCACTGTACATGCGCGTCCGCACGTGGTATTTTGTGGAAGAGCCTCACTCTAGGGGCCAAAGATCCGCATGTGGCTTGCGAGCCGCAGTTTGCCGACCACTGGGCTAGGGCAAACTAATTTGTTTTTATCTCCCGTGATCAAAGCAGCAGCCTTCCAAACCTGGTGTTGTCTGTTCACCTTAGAGCTGCTTTTTGTTGGTCAGTAGACACCTGTTCATAGAGCCCTGCACAAGTGCCCGTAAGATCCTCATAAGTTCCCAGAGATAGTCTTGGGGGAAAGAGACTACCTACTGAATGCAATGAGCACCTCCTGTGTTCCCTTAACGTGTTCCGGCGATAACCATCTTCACGTTCTCATGGAACTTCTGGGCACCGCCCTCCACATTTAAACGTTTCTCTGATATCCTCTGAGACATGCTGGGTATGACAGGCTTCTAGGCTGTCTCCGTCCTTCATCATACAGGCAGTCTTCTTCAGTGCTCATGGCACACTGGAAATTTCTCAGATGGAAATTCCTGGTCCAGAATCCGGGCAGATTTGGCGCCCGTATGCGCGCCTGCCTTTCTACATAACAGCCTCCTTTGCATTTCAGGCAGAGTGGTGAATGTGTCCAGCATGGTGAGTCTCAGAGCTCTGAAAAACTGCAGCCCGGAGCTGCAGCAGAAGTTCAGAAGCGACACCATCAGCGAGGAGGAGCTGGTGGGGCTCATGAACAAGTTCGTGGAAGATACTCGAAACGGGGTGCACCAGAGGGAGGGCTGGCCCAACAGCACGTACGGCGTCACGAAAATCGGCGTCACCGTCCTGTCCAGGATCCACGCCAGGAACCTGAGTGCGCACAGGAGAGGGGACAAGATCCTCCTGAATGCCTGCTGCCCAGGGTGGGTGAGAACCGACATGGCCGGCCCTAAAGCCACCAAGAGCCCAGAAGAGGGTGCGGAGACCCCTGTGTTCCTGGCCCTTTTGCCCTCAGATGCTGAGGGGCCTCACGGACAGTTTGTTATGGAGAAAAAGGTGGAACCATGGTGAGCTCCCCTCACAGCCCCCTCCGTGGGCCCCATTGTGTTATCTGTCCTGAAATGACCAAAGGGACATGCACACCGTCACATCATTTCTATCCAAATATATGTATTGTTCACGTGAGAATCATTCACACCTGTGAAGAATTTTTGTGAGTTTATTTGAGCCAAACTGTTGACAAATGCTGGGAAACAGAATCTCAGGGGATAGGGATAATGCTCCAGAGAAGGACAGTTTTTTACCTGGTTTTATACATTAGAACCAAAAGAGGAGACCTAAGAGGGTTACACAGAATCCCCTGGTGATAGATTAGGGAGGTGGGGAAACCTCTGGGATTGGATAAAAAGTAAGATGATAGACACGTACTTCTCTAACGTAGGTGGGTGCAGGATAGCTAACAGTCAACAATTAGCTCGCTAACAGTGAGGGGGTTTGTAGCCTCTGCAGAGCAGTGCCTGTCCTTTGAAGGGTCCAGAAAAAAAGAAAATTACTTTGACATTCCAACGATATGTCATTGTCGCCGCAAAAAGGCAATAGACACGCTGGGCTTCTGGTTTCCTTCAGGACACAGCTCCCTCGAAACCTTAGTGGTTCCAGAATACAGGTGTCCCCTCCCCACCCAAAACCTACACCAGTTCCTGACAACCACATAGGCAGTGCCAAGACACTAACCAGGGGCCTGCCGTTCACATCCTAGATGGGTAAATAGTGAATCCCACTTTATCCATCTGACTCAAAGCCCAGCCAACTCCCAAAATATCACCTGCACTCAACCAAAAGTCTACCTGTAAGTAACAGTCCGTCGTGTTAGGTTATCGGATGTTTAACACTGCCCTTCCTAACCGCATGGCTCCTAAATATATTCTTTTTCTTTGGACTGGCTCTCTCACTTGCTTTGCTTCCTTATCCTGGATTCTGTCCTGTTCATAGCATTTTGGGGACTTCCTTGTAAAACACAGGGCAAAAACATGGGCTAAACATTTTGATGGTTGCCTAATGAGAGGGAGGTTGAGGGGATGGGTGAAAAAGGTGAAGGGATTTAGAAGGAATTGGTCACCTCTTGGTGCATGGGTGACCTCTCAATGCATTGACTATATTCCCTACGCCCAGAAGATAGCCAATAATCCTATATAATAAAAGGCTAATATGCAAATTGATCAAACAGCGGAATGATCGGTCGCTATGATGCGCACTGACCACCAAGGGGGAGCACTGCTCAGCCAGAAGCTGGGCAGCAGCGGTGGTAGAGAGTGGGCCTAAGCCAGCAATTAGACATCCCCCGAGGGCTCCTGGACTGTGAGAGGGCACAGGGCAGGCTGAGGGACCCCCACTCCCGAGTGCACTAATTTCGTGCATTGGGCCTCTAGTGTAATAACTAGGTGTGGTGCCTGATGGGTATGAGATTACTTGGAATGATCAGTAAGTTGTATAATGTCTAATCACTGGGGCATATGCACCTGAAAGTAATATAATATGGCATGTCAACTGTCATTGAAAAATTAAAAATTCGCCCTGACTGGTTTGGCTCAGTGGATAGAGTGTCAGCCTGAAGACTGAAGGGTCCCAGGTTCGATTCCGGTCAAGGGCATGTACCCTGGTTGCAGGCACATCCCCAGTAGGGAGTGTGCAGGAGGCAGCTGATCGATGTTTCTCATTTATGTTTCTAACTCTCTATACCTCTCCCTTCCTCTCTGTAAAAAAATCAATACAAATATATTTTTTTTAAAAAAGGAAGAAAAATTAAAAATGACTTAAAAAAATGGGCTAAATGTGGGGATGCTTTGAGGACAAGCATTGAGCTACACAGAGTGGCTCACAGCAACAAAGACACCGCGATGCTCCCTTAGGGGCCAGCGATGGTGAAATATCCATGCCAAGTGACTAACCAAGCCTATGGGTGTAGAACTGTTCATTTACAGAAAAACAAAGGAAGCCAATGGATACCAAGGGCAACAACTTAGATGAAATGTATTTTTTTGAAAACACGAATTAAGCGTCCACAAAAAACAAAATCTGAATAGCCCTATATCTATTATTAATGATTTCAGAGAGGAAGAGAGAGGGAGAGAGAGATAGCAACATCAATGATGAGAAAAAATAATTGATCAGCTGCCTCCTGCACACCCCACACTGGGGGTCAAGCCCGCAACCTTGACATGTGCCCTGACGGAATCAAACCGTGACTTCCTGGTTCATAGGTCCGTGCTCAACCACTGAGTCACACCGGCTGGCCAGCCCTATATCTTTAATAGAGTTCCGAATAATCTGCAGGTGGGTGGTGGGGAGGGGGGATATATTGGTTGAGCCACAATAAGGGACCGCACAGAGCAGGTGCACACCTTCCTGACCTCACCTGTTACTTGATGGAGAAGGTGGAGTCAGAAGCGCAGGCAGCTCAGCCAGCTCTGCTAGAGAAAAGCTGAGTCACGATGAGATCGAAACTCTCCATAAACCCACAAATCGCGAGAAACGCCCTGGGATCAAACACTCAGATTACACTAAAGAAGGTGGGTGGGGGAGTTCTAATCGCCCGTCCACACCTTGGCACACCTTTGGGATTCCCTTTCAGTTGAGCTTTGTGGGTACACAGGTTTCACTGGGAGAAAAAATTATGTATGTCACCTTGGACAAACCTAAAATGCAGACACTTCGCAGCCGCGGGGGGTGAACACATCCCAGTAAAAGGCTTGGCACACAGAGCTTCATAAACATCCCTCCCGCCGGGGCGCACTGGGAATCACAGGCATGTACCTGCGCACACCTGTGCTTCTACTCATAGGACCGCTTTGCCCTAATTCTCTTTGGAGCTTCTCTTAAGCAAGCAACGCCCTCAGAAGCAGTTGCGAGTCTAAAATTTCATTGCATTTTAAAGAAAAAACAAACATCCTCCTTTTACAGGGGATGATGGGCGCAGACCCAAGAAAATCAGTCAGCACTTTCTCTCCGTGTGGGGTTCTCCTAAAAGAGTTTCTTCTATCCGACTGCCATGCGCCCCTAGACCCTACCCACCCATCACGGTCCGGTTTTGCGTTGGGAGAACGACAGCCGCCCCACGGGCTGACCACGGCTTGGCCCGGACGCCGCGCGGGGAGGGGGCGGGCCGGGAACGGGGCGTTCCGCAAGCTTCGGGAACAGAAGGCCCCTCCTTGGAGGGAGGGACCGAGGCCGGGCCTCGTTCCTCAAAGTCGCAGCACGGAATCCCGAACTCAGTCCTGCGCGGTTTCTCTGACTGCGGCCGGGTCTCCGAGGTGGGCCTCTAGTCCGATCCGCTCTCCGTGCACGTTCCCCGCGCGCCCCGCACCCGGCCATGTCGTCCTGCAGCCGCGTGGCGCTCGTGACCGGAGCCAACAAGGGCATCGGCTTCGCCATCACGCGGGACCTGTGCCGCCAGTTCTCGGGGGACGTGGTGCTCACGGCGCGGGACGAGGCGCGGGGCCGGGCGGCCGTGCAGCAGCTGCAGGCCGAGGGCCTGAGCCCGCGCTTCCACCAGCTGGACATCGACGACCTGCAGAGCATCCGCGCCCTGCGCGACTTCCTGCGCAAGGAGTACGGGGGGCTCAACGTGCTGGTCAACAACGCGGGCATCGCCTTCAAGTGTAGGTGCGGGAGAGGGAGGGCCTGGGTGCCCCGAGGTGGGGGACGGGGAGCCGCAGGCGCTCCCCCCGCCATCCGCCTGAGCGATCAGGAAAGGCAGCGTGCGCCCGGTGGAGGGCTCTCGCTTCCCGGAGTTGCGGGAGCGGTTCGCTCAGCGCCAAGTGGGCCGGGGTGCTGTCACCGCGCGCCCCGCCCGCCCGCAGGCCTGTGCGCGCCTGTGCGCAGCCCAGGGCCCTCGCCGAACTGTCAGTCGCCCCTGTTTGCAAGTAAACTGCCTCCTGGGAGGGGGCCACGCCCTGCTTAGCTCATCAGCTTTCTGTCTAAGGCAAGAAACGTTTTCTCTGCGTAGGGTCTCCCCGCTCGCTTGGGGCTTTCGCTTTCTTGAAAGGGCGCATTCACAGATGCCAGGAGCCATCTGCTCGGGACAGGAAATGAGTCTCTGAGACCCGACGAGCCCCGGCACCGTGGTGGACTGGAGACTTTGTTTAATGGAGAGCTTTGATAGGCTCGGGCTTAAAGGAAGCGAGCCTGTTCCCTCCCCCGGGAAACTTGTGGTGGTTACCGGACGCACAAGGGTGGTTTTGAGTAGCATCTTTGATACTTTGCGGGGTAGGGGATTAAAGCGATGACTGACCCTATGGCTCGATTAAGGAAGGCATTGAGCTAATGCTGCGGGTAGAAAGAAATAACAGGCCAGCCTCACTCGCAACCCAGTGGAGAAGGGAAACCTAGAGGCAGAACCGAGTCAAGCGAGCTATTGTGCAGCGCGAATCTCATCCCCTTGGCGGTGGGTGCTCCCCATTGCTGTGCACTCGCACCTGCCACTCAGTGTGCGGGCTTTCTGGGAGCGCAGGCAGGTGGGTGGCTGACACCCCCTCCCCAGTGGCTGAGGGACTGGTGGATAAGTGCCCGTCCCTGAACTGCAGGTGGGGGGGACACTGGCCTGCGCTGCCAGCCTTGCCCCTCAATGTGTGGGCAGCGGACTCAGCACCTGCGACCCTGGGCGCCCGCTGCCATCGCAGAGCTCAAGGCTTTGCCCCACACCTGCTGAATCAGAACCCGCACCTTAACAGACTCACCAGGGGCCCCTCTGCCCGTCCAAGTCCGAGAAGCAAAGGTCAAAGCCAGGCTCGCCCGCAGCCCAGCCGCCGCAGCGTCCCCTGGGAACTCGTTGGAAGTGCAAATGCTGGCGCCCCACCCCAGGTCTTCTCCATCCAACTCTCCGGGCGGGGCCCAGAGAGCTGTGTTCTAACTGGCCCTGCAGGTGATTCAGGTTCCGGGTGAAGTTTGGGAACCACTGACCTAGTGGTTTAAAAACTGTAAAGTGAGCTTTCCCCCCCTTTAATTAGAGATCAGGTCCACTTTGCCTGACTCTGTCTTTGTTTCCTTCTCTTTTTCAAAGTTGATGATCCGACGCCCTTTGACATTCAAGCTGAGGTAACTCTGAAGACAAACTTTTTTGCCACGAGAAACGTCTGCAACGAATTACTGCCGATCATAAAGCCTCATGGTGAGTCCAGCGTGTGGATTGTCACGTTGCATCCCTCAGCACGGAGTGAGCCAGGGCCTCTGCTTCCCAAAGGGGCCACCCAGGGGTGCTGTTCTCTGAGGGGGAAACATAGAAAATGGCATTTTATATGCATATATATATATATATATATATATATTAATTTCAGAGAGGAAGGGAGAGAGGGAGAGAGATAGAAACATCAATGATGAGAGAGAGTCATTGATGGGCTGCACGCCCCTCACCAGGGACCGAGCCCACAACCTGTGCATGCGCCCTGACCAGGAATTGAACCCGGGACCCTTCAGTCTGCAGGCCGACGCTCTAGCCACTGAGCCAAGCCGACTAGGGCCAGGCATCATTTTTTTATAGTGCTGTATCTGGTTCTCACCCAAACATTTTAGCTTTAGCTTTAAAAGGGATGTATGCCACATGGTGACGCTCTTGATTCTCCCAGGACATGAACTCAATCCTAGAACAATAGGTGTTGCGAGTCTTAAAAGTCCTCTTGCCTTTTTGCAACCTCGGGGAGTCCTCCTCCAGCTCCCCAGGGTGAAGGGGCCACACCCAGCTCCCCTGGGGTTGGGGGTGGTGTCCGACCTAGCACTGTATGACTTTCCCTGTATTCCTTTCTTCTTGCACCAAGCTTGGTCTCGCTGATTCAGAACACCCACAAGTACATTTTCTTTTCTTTTCTTTTTTTTTTTAAATATATTTTATTGATTTTTTACAGAGAGGAAGGGAGAGAGATAGAGAGCTAGAAACATCGATGAGAGAGGAA